AATTAGTTGTGATTTAGCCCAAACCAGGACAGTTTCTTACAGCCCCGGCGTGCTACTTTTGTGAGATCCTCCTTCATCTTAAAGTTGGGGGGTGGGGAATTTTCGTGTGAGGTTGAAAAGTTGTCTGACCATGTCTGTATCTTCTTCCTGGTCTCTTTTTTGGGGGAGCGAGGGCTCAAGCAGCAGAAACAGCACTACTGACCTACACAGGCTTTTTCTCCTCTCCTTAGTTGCGTGTACCTTCAGTTGCACAATGAGGTTCACCGTTCGAGACTGTGACCCAAACACGGGCGTGCCAGAAGAAGATGGCTACGACGATGAATACGTGGTAAGTCCAGGACTCGTGTTTCCCTCCTCGCTAGTTCTGAATACCCGTGGTGGCTGTCGGGCTGACAGCTCCCTCTGGGATCTGAAGCCAACAGAAGAGAAGGGCTGGCCTGCCTGAAACACCGTCTCCAAAATACTGTGGCTTGTAACCTCAAATCTTTCCCCAAAACCTTGCTTCTGCCAAAAGCTCGTTTAGCTTTAGTGCCCTCTGGAGATAGATTTGTGGGGACAGACAGACAGCAAGGAAGAACTTCCACTGTCTGTTCTCAGCTCCGCGACCCCATCTTTCCACCCCAAGCGTTTGCACTTTTGTTTATTGTGTTTGTGTTATCGATCACGGAAATACAAGTCAGATCTCAGGAAACTGCCTGTCTTTTGGGCTCGGAGGAAGTAAAACCTTCTGGGTTCTGAGAAAGTCCCTCAGCTGCCCAGTAAGGGCCAGAACGGGCTTTGACTCACAAAGTGATTGCCCCGTTTTCTGCTCTCCTTTAGTCTCTCTTGAGTTTTTCTGTAAATGTTCTTAAGCTTTACAGATGAACACCATAAATACTTTTTTTTTCCCCTCTCTGCTTTCTAAGCGCTATTATTTAGGTGCTGAAGTTAAAGCCAGGCCTGCCACCGTTGTCTTGGCAAAAGCTGCTGTCTCTCCTTGGCTTTCTTTCTCTCTCTCTAAGATTAGGATCGTTTCTGTAACTGGCAGCTGAAAAATCTCCCTTGCTTTTCTGTCAGTTGGAAGATTTGGAGGTGACCGTGTCTGACCATATTCAGAAGGTTTTAAAGCCAAACTTCGCAGCTGCATGGGAAGAAGTGGGCGATGACTTTGAGAAAGAAGAAACCTTCGCCCTTAGTTCGATTAAAACCCTGGATGGTGAGATGATCTCTCCTCGTTTATTGACGACCCACGTAATAATCCTGGTCAATCTGCCGTGCAGGGGATGTATTTCGTGTGGTAGGAGGAGAATTTTGGCGCTTTCCAACGTGCTGTTAGGTCCCAGCAGCGAGGCTTTGTGTTGCAACGTTGGGATTGCAGTGAGTGGAAGCTTGGCAGCGCTCTTTTGCTTGAGGCTGGCTGAAGGGCGGGGAGCGTGGCTGGGCTGTCAAGACAGCAGCAGGGCCGTGGCGAGGCAGGTGTGTTGGTGGGGCTGCAACCAAGATGATGAATGGAAATGGTTCAACCACGTGGGCGCTTAGAGAACGTCCTTTAATTGCCAACTAGTTCTCACAGAAAGCTTGGCACCAACCTGGAGGTAATATTTCTTCTTCAATTTCTGAATGCAGAAGCCGTCAATAACATCATCAAGTTCTTGGGCATGCAGCCCTGTGAGAGATCAGATAAAGTGCCAGAGAACAAAAATTCTCACACGCTCTGCTTGGCTGGTAAGTGTTCGTGCTGTTGAACTCTCCACGTTTCCATGTCCCCACAGATTTTTACCGAAGGGAAATGGGTTGGGAGATTCTGCTCTTATTCCAAGAGGTGTTGGTTTTTTTTTCTCTGTAGAAAGTTGAATGCAGCTGGTGCTACCTTGGAGCCCGCTGTCGTGGGTGTACTCAGGCTAGGCTCTGTCTCTCTTTCTACCTATGGGAACGATAGAGAATCCTTTGAATGAAGAGCTTCCAGTGCAGACCTCTCGCTGAAATCCTTGCCTGAGGTTGTCTCGGAAGGGGCTTCCCAGGACCATCCTGTTTGCAAGTTTCTGTCGCTAAAGACACATCCTGAACTGGTGCACAGTGCCCACAGCTTCTCGTTTGGTGGCTGTGGTCCAGGGATTGTGCAAAGCCTGGAAGTGAAGTGCTCTACAAAACTCCGTTGCAGTTATTAAAACAAAACTGCAATGAACGAGACAGAAGGGTCAGATCTCTATTTATTTTAGGGGCAGAATTGGTAACTCCAGGTATGTTGAAGGGGGACTGGAGATGGCTCGTCCTGCAGTCTGAACTGCCTCCAGGAGCGCCACGTCCAAGCCCTCTAGTCAAAGTCTGCTTTGGTGAGGCCACACCTCGAGTGCTGGGTGCAGTTTTGGGCCCCTCACTACAAGGACACTGAGGTGCTGGAGGGGGTACAGAGGTGGGCTGCCAAGCTAGGGAAGGATTTGGAGCAGGTCTTGTATGAGGAACAGCTGAGGGATCTGGGGGTGTTCAGCCTGGAGAAGAGGAGGCTGAGGGGAGACCTCATCGCTCTCTGCAACTGCCTGAGGGGAGGCTGTGGTGAGGGTCGGTCTGTTCTCCCTAGTAACAAGCGATAGAACAAGGGGAAACAGCCTCAAGCTGCACCAGGGGAGGTTCAGGCTGGATATGAGGAAGAATTTCTTCACTGAAAGGGTTGTCAGGCCTTGGCAGAGCCTGCCCAGGGAGGGGGTGGCGTCACCATCCCTGGAGGTGTTGAAGAGATGGGTAGAGGTTGTACTTGGGGACATGGTTTAGTGGTGTTGACAAAGGTTGGACTCGATGATCTTGAAGGTCTCTTCCAACCAAAGCTGTTCCATGATTCTGTGACTATTCCTGCTCAACGGTGAGGGCACTGAGCCGATGGACTGTGCCTTCACTGCAGAATTACAGTACGTGTTCCCTTCTCGAACTAGAAGCGAGCTTCAGCTACCCCCTTTCTGGTTCCTACCTGGTTTAAGTCAGCCTGGCCCTCCAGCAGCACTCACTGGCTCTGCTTCATTAGTGATAGTATCTGCTGTCTTCAGTCTTGGCCTCGAGCGTAGGGGATTTGCTGGGGTTAGTTGGGTTTTTGGGGTATTTTTTGGTCATTCCGCCCCCCCCCCGGCCCCTGCAACTGGCCATAGACTGAATCTGTCTTCCACTCACCAAGTTGTTGGCTCCTGGGTTAGGACCGGATCGCTGAGCCTCTCTTAAAGTCACCTCTCAAATGTTGCTTTGTCCCCAGGCGTGTACCGAGGCGGCTGCGATGTGCTGGTAAGGTCGAGGCTTGCGCTGGGAGATGGCGTGACCATGCAGGTGACGGTTAGGAGCAAGGAAGAAACGCCTGTCGAGGTCATCCTGGCTTCCGTGGGCTGAGCCTTACAGCCCATCCACTGTGGTAGAAACCTCCTTTGCAAGTTGTGTATTTACTGGATATCAAGCAGGCTGTCTGTCCTTCTGCATGTAGTTTTTATTCCTCAATTTAGTAAATATTTTGTATGATGTTGCAGTAGCTGAGGGGCTGGCTGGTGCCGAGCCTTTCCCCCGTCCCTTCCCTCGTCGTCACTTACACGTTCTCGTCTAACTTATTGCATTTCTGGCCACTTGCGGTAGAGCAGGGAAGAGGCAGGTGGTTCAGAAAATGGAATCAGACTTTTGTCAAAACTGATTTTTATTAACGGAAAATATACACTGGTCCAACTGGTGGAATTCATATGAATCGCTGTTAATAAAATAGAAATTTCTTGTTCTAATTCTGTCTGCTTCAGTACAGAAAAAGTAGCCCATAATGGCTGTTTACTCACCAGAAACCCTTTCCTGCAAAAGGGCTGCTATTAAATTTCAAACATAAACAGTCTGTGACCCTGCAAATTTACAGGAGGTTGATGATTGTCTCCTCCCTTCCACGCAGAAAAATCAATGTACGGGAGAGAGAGATTAAACTTCACCTATCAAGGCCTATTCACGTAATACCAAAAACCAGTGCAGCCTTTTCCTGGCCTCAAGAGATGTGAAACTAGGGAAAAGAGGGACCTTGCAGTGACTCCTGGGGGAAGTTCTGCAGCTCTTTGCTGATGAATTGGTGTTTCATTATCAAGTCAGGGTGAGGAAGGAATGAATATTATTTTAATGCTCATTTAAACGCCATCCCAGATCCCTGTGGCTGGAGTTGCTGATGTTCAGAACCCACCACCTTGGCTTGCTCTAGTGAAACAGGTACGAGCCCGCCCTGGTAGACCTGCGTGCCACAGCCAGGCTTTGGCAAAGCTCCTGAGATTGCCCCAGGGGCGTAGCGAGGGTGAGAAGCTCTGCTTGTTGAACTGAAATTCAGAGAAATAAGGGATGTGGTAAAAACTTGAGGTTTAGAGCTTGCCTTTGGGTAACTGGCCATTAAAAAAAAAAAAGAGGTAACTACAGTGCTTAAATGCCCCTTTATGGGTGCAGGGCATCATAGCCTGTACTTTGGGGGATTACAGCTCCGGCTCTCCTGCTGTGTTTAGCGTAGGCAAACTCAAATTTCAATTTTTCAGTCCAAGGATTATAACATTTAGCAGAGGACTAGAATTTAAACTAGTTTGGCAGCAACTCGCCAACCAGACTAACGTCCTTCTGGCGAGTACGTGCGTCAGCCCTTGGCTGCCAGGGGTCCTGCCTGCCTGTGGCACGTGGTGTAGCTTGGCAGTGGGGGCAAGTAAGGCCTCGTGGGCACGCTCTGCTTCCCCTCAGGTGCCCCTGTTCTCCCTTGAGCCCTCCTGGCTCTAAATACAGAGAGGCCGGTCGAGCAGCAAGGGCTGGAAGAGCTGTCAGTGTCCTGTCACTCTGCTTAGGCTGGGTTTTGTCCATGTCCCCCTACAGGTTAAGCTTTTTCTGGTGCTTGAAGGGTTTAACTGCGTAAATGCAGCAATTTGGCAGCTAAGGAGGAGGGCGTTAGTGCAAAGTGTTGGATTTGGAGATAAAAAAAATCAAGGTTTCTTCCTGCCCCCAAAGCTTGACTCGTAAGCAGAGCGCGAGAACTGAGCTGCAGCAGCTCAGAAAGAGTTGATGAAGTTCAGATACGCGTTCAGGAAGCCTGTTGGATCCTCCAGCTGCGGATAGTGGCTGATGTGGTCATCCAGCACGGACACCGTGGACAGGGGAAGCACCTTCCTGTTGGAAGAACGCAGCAAGGCTTCAGCACAGGGGCGGTACCCTCTTGCACAGTTGGGATTCTGCCCGTAACGTGGTTTTGGGACCAAAAAAAAAGAGCCTGTAGCAGCTACAGTTGACCACTCTTCCAAGTGCTGGATTTACTTCAGGTTAGTTTGGAAGAGAAGGCTACCTCGGCCGATAAATCTCATCTGTCTGACGTGGTTTTAAAATGCGTGATTGATTTGGCTGAGAATTGTGACTTCGATGCCTAAAAGGGGGAAAGCCGTTTCCAAGCAGCAGCGGGCTCCGACGGAATCCCCTGGCTATGCAGGTTACAGGTGGGAATTAAAAACAGCCTCGATGAAAAGGGAAGGGAAGAAGTCGGAGACAAAAATCTCCCTCGAAATGAAACCCCAGTTCCCCGCCTTGTGGCGGGTATTGTCTTACTTGTAAAGCTGAAGAAACTCTGGGTGCGGGTTCACGGGGTCCAGGGGCCCATAGATGAGGTGCACTGCAAGAGAGAAGCCCAGACAGAGCTGAGGACGTCCCTAAACTAAGCCGAGGAGGTCTGTTGCAGATACTTTCTCAGCGTGGAGCTTGGGAAGCTTTCAGCAGAGCGCCGAGCAAACCAGCCGCCGAAAAGGCTCTCGCTTCTCTGCCCTGGGGTCAAGTTCAGCCTCCAACCCTCCTCCTGCAAACGCCAAACCTTTCCTGGAGCGGTTGCAGCTTCTCTCGAGCTTGAAAAGCACCTCGGCTTCCCTGGGGCAGCAGTTGGAGAAACCAGAGGCTGTGAAGCAGCCTCTAACAAGAGAGTTACCTCCGCTCAGTGGATCAAACTTTTATCTCAACAAGGTCCCAGCTCCGCTGTAACCAAGCCTTCAACTGGAGCGGAGAAACTTGTGCTGCTACACCCTGCACAAACCAGATTTGAGCCACGTCCTCCTCATCAGAACAACGAGAGGCTCCGAGCGGAAGCACCCCGCTCCAGTGCCTGCGGGCGAGGGGGGCAATTCCCAACCCCTCTCCGCCAGTAAATCGAAGAAAACGGATTCCTACTCACGTGGGACGGAGGTGGACATCAAAGCCCCCACCCAGCGGTCCCTGTGCTTCTTCCTCTGGTTGATGTACTGCAAAATACTGAAGAGAAACGTGGGGTTACGCAGCAGATGGTGCCTCGAGGTGCTGCACAGCCTGGAAATTGCCTCTGCAATGAGACCGAGGTGGAATCGGCATCTCCCATAGCCCACCTCCTCGGGGCAGCAGCAACGCAGAATCAGCCTGCTGACCATCCCTGAGCTTAGGGACTTGCCTGAGGTGTTTGTTTGGGGGGTTGGGTTTGGTTTTTATTTAGACAGACAAAAATAAAAGTTCAAAGGAGGTTGGGACACTGACTGCCAGCTCTTGCCCGTGCCAGCTCTGTGCCCGAACTGTGGACTCCAGAGTCCTGCTGGAGGATAAGCCATGTTCATTTATGAAGGAAGAAACATCTGGCAAGAGGGGAGGATAAGGTTTGAGTCCTTCCTAGCTGAAATGGAAGCAAATTTGGGTCCCCTGCTCCCCCTCAAATGCCAAAATAGGTTGTAAAAGGGAGCGAACGGTTGTAACCCGGGCAGTAAGTCACAGCAAGCTGCAGGCAGCCGGCAAATCCGCACCGAGAGGTGGGTTACCCCCAAGCCCCCTTCAACTCCATGCAGCTTCATTGCTTGGGCAACTGGGGCAAAAAAAGCACGGATTTGTACAAAATGTCAGGGCAGCAATTCGTCTGCTGGAAGCCAACGCGGAGGCAGCGCCGCCCGAGCGCTCCCGGGGACGGCTCCCGGGCGCTGCAGCCGTTTCAGTGCTGCACAGAAGAGGAGTCAGCGCTGAACCAGGGGAGGATAAATGGTACTGGTTGGGTCTTGCAGTGAAAATCTGAACTGGTGACAACTCCTCAGCCTGTCTCGTCATCACTCCGGGTGACTCCTTGCTTCACCACAGCTCGGGGCGGGGGGCTGAGGGTCACAATTTAAACATGAGGTTTAAGTCAGTTGGGTTATAAAGAGCCTTCCAAGGACGGGAAGCTACGCTAAATAAACGTACTGCTCCTCTGACACACGACAGTGACGGTGCTGGAGGTATTTTGGCACTGAGCTTCCCATGGTGGCTGCGCTGCCGACAAAGGTGACACCGCAAAAAATGTGCCGTAGGGGGGGACTTGCCAAGGGGGCAGTGCGTCAGCCAGCGTACCCACCACTGGGCCGGGGGGAGCGTCGCTCGTTATAAGAGGTAATTAGTGAGCGCCCTTGGGAGAGGCTGGGCTATTTGGTCCTTAGGGTGATTTGGCTGGAGCTTGGCCCCAGTGGGAGGAGAGAGGAGTTTGCATGCTGGGGGGAGAAGGACAACCCCCCTCCCAGCTGAACAGGGGG